GTGGATTCTTCACCACCGAACCACCAGGGAAGCCTCCTTGAGCTAGGCAGCTGAATGCCTCATCATGTCAGATTTGGAATTCTGCTGTCTGGGTTTGAATCACTGTTATACCGTTTGCTAGGTATGGGCAAGTTAGATATTCTTTCCAAGTTTCTGTTTCCTCATCAATGAAATAAGGTGGTGATAGCACTTAGTGCATAGGACTTTTTTGAGATTTAAATAAGATAATATAGATAAATGTAAGTATAGGTAAACTATCTGATTCATAAGAACTCAATACTTGTCATTTAATTGTTGATACTGTTATTGCCTGTGTTCTCAGGCTTTCTGGGGTTTTGCATCCTGTTTCTTGTTGGAGCTTTGCAGTTGTGTCATATTACAGTGCTTTAAGACAAGTTACAAATCTGTTTGGAGTACTGTGCACTATCACTCTTCTTTCCTATAACTGTTATGTTACATAATATACATGGCTTATGATCTCCTCCGGCTCCCTCCTTCTAGTAACTTTAATAATGCCTGGCTCCCCACGACCACGAACAAAACACACACACACACAGATTTCCCGTTCCATTTCCCCATCTCGGCACAAGCAGTGTAATCTACCTGGTCATGCAGTCCTGTAGTCACTAACATAACAATTTACTTGAATGGATTTCAGAGCAGAAAGATTCTTTGGACCATACTACTTGCCATAAGACATTGAGTAGCATCTAGATGGCTGTGTGAGAATAGTAGATTTTCCCTGAAACCAAATTGCAGATGTGGAGTACAGAAAATGTACTTATTTTTCAAGGTTGTGCTCAGAAATAGACTACTACTCATAGGAAGCAGGTGGGAATAAGTGTCCTGATAAGCACCTGATGCATCATGGATGTGTTCACGCTGAATCCAGTTTATATGGAGAAGGGGTGAAGCTGAGAAGTTCAGTCCAGTCGCTCAGTTCTGTCCGACCCTTTGCGACCCCATGGACTGAAGCACTCCAGGCCTTCCTGCCCATCGCCAACTCCCAGAGCTGGCTGACACTCATTTGAAGCTGAGAAGACTGTAAGACAATTGATGTGTTCAGTATTTAAGCTTGCTGAATAATATAAAATCGTGAACTTTTAAATTGCATCTTCCTTACGTAGTTTGGGGTCTGAGGTTTCTAAGACTGTTAAAATAGTCTGGGCATTTAGGTGACATAAAGTAAGAGACTGCAAGTAAAGAGAAAGGCCTCTGGATCCTAAGATCTTAGTTTTGAAGGAGACATTTTCTCTCTGATATTAATTGGTGACAGTCAAACTTTAATGAGAGCATTGTGGGCGGCTCAGAAACTCTGCTGGAGACTGTTCTGGCTGACATTTGTCATTACTTATATGTCTCATGATTGGAATAGAGTTAAACCTTATGCTTTTTTTCTCCTTCTTATGCTTTTAAGAATTTGTTGAAGTCCTTGATTTACTGATGACCTGGATCTTTTCAGGGGTGACTTAGCCCTGAAGCTGCTCTGCAGTGTTTTGACTCAACATTTCTTTTAGCTTGTACAAGAGCATTGCTTGCAGAACTTTTAGAAGTAGAATTATTCTTGCTGTATCAGTTTTTGTTTTATTGCTAATGAAATTGCATATAGAATAATTTACATGAATTATAGCCATTGTCTACCTCTTAAAGAAATTTGTTCTATTCTTGCCTTTATAGGCTTTTTTTTTTGCTCATGTCAATGGCAATATATTCAGAGTATTCATTTGGTATTCAAGGTTGTATGCTATTATCTGTGAAATACTCTTTCTCTTTGTTTTATATTTTATTTAAAATTATTTGTTGCTATCAAAACAGAATGGGTATGCTAAAAATTCCAGCAGTACAGAAAAGCTTATAATAAAAAGCTCCATCCTTTATACTCCCTTGTCAGAAACAATCATTTTCAACTGTTCTTATTAGATCTTTTGTTGGATAATCCCATGCATCTAAATAATAAGGTATTTCTTGAAATAACAACTTTGGAAATATCAACTCTATTGCCTCTCCTATGAAAGATTGGTATTTAACTCATATTTTTCAATCCCTTCCTCTTTTCTCAAGCATTGTTATTGGTATTATTAATTATCTTTTATTAGCTCCCTTTATAACACTAAGCATTATTTGTCAACTTACACTTATTATTCCTCAAATTCAGACAGTAACTCTTCTCTGAAGCCTTAGATGGTAAAGACTCTGCCTGTGATGCTGGAGATCTGGGTTCAGTGCCTGTGTCAGGAAGATGCCCTGCAAAGGGAATGGCTACCCTCACTCCAGTGTTCCTGCCTGGAGAATCTCATGGACAGAGTCGCCTCACAGGCTGAAGTCCGTGGGGTTGCAAAGAGTCAGACATGACTGAGTAACTAACACTTTGACTTTCGTGACTTGAAGCATTATTTATCAACTTACACTTATTATTTCGTCAAAATCAGACAGTAACTCTTCTTGGTTTTGCACTCAAATAAGACATAATTGTTAGTACCCTTATCATTCCTCTCCTAATTGTGCCATCTATAGTTTTACTTTCACATTATTATTACTAATAATATTTATATTTGATTTTGCAAGCATAATGAGTTCTTTCACTGTTAATCTAGAGGTTGACTTGAGATAACTACCCTATGCTTTGCCTACATCCAGATAAATATTTCATGTATTGTCTATGTTTATATAAATACTTTAGGATCTTTCATATATTGATTCTACATAAATTTTGTTTTAATATTTTTAGTTTCAGAATCATCACCACTTGCTAGAATTTCCTTCCTAAAGGTCCACTGTTAATACTTCATGGCTAGAAAAAGAATATCACCAAGATTAAGGACAAATGGATTCGCTCTTTTCTTTTTTGGATGTACCACAGCAGCACGTGAGCTCTCAGGTCCCTGACCAGAGACTGAACCCATGCCCTGCAGTGGGAGTCCAGAATCAACTGCCAGGGAAGCCCCTGGGCTAGCTTTTCTAACCCTTCATAAATTTCTGTAAGTCATGCCACACTGTCATTGACTTCATATAACAAAGATGAGTTTTTCATAAACTGTATTTCTGTGTTGTTTCTTGGGGCTTTCTTTAGGAGGAATTTCTTCCTAGAGCCCACCAAGTTCCTCTTCTCATCTGGACCCGTTATTTCCTAGATTTGCTGCACAGCTGTTCTTTTCACACTTCATTCTATCAGAATCCTGGGAAAGCTGTTTTTCATATCCCAAGTCTTCTTTCTTATTTTCCACTCTTACTTAAGTGGGTTTCTTGGAAAGAAATCTGGGGGCTTCCCAGGAGGCACTAGTGGTGAAGAACCCGCCTGCCAATGCAGGAGACCTAAGAGACTCTGGTTCTTTTCCTGCATTGGGAAGATTCCCTGGAGGAGGAAATGGCAACCCACTCCAGTATTCTTGCCTGGAGAATCCCATGGACAGAGAAGCCTTGTGGGCTACAGTCCATGTGGTTGCACAGAGTTGGACATGACTGAATATGCGTGCACACATATTTGGAAAGAACAGTGAATTGATGTTTTAAGTTCTTGAGTATCTGAAAATATTTCTGATTTGTAGTCACGTTGGATTTATAATTTGCCATGGTACAGAAGTGAGCGTATAATTTCACACAGAAATTGGAAATTCACTCCTTTGTCATTTAGCATTTAAAAAATTAATTTATTTTTTAATTGAAAGATAGATGCTTTATAGAATTTTGTTGTTTTCTGTCAAACCTCAACATGAATCAGCCATAGGTATACATATATCCCCCGCTTCTTGAACCTCCTTCCCTTCCCCCTCCCCATCCCACCCCTCTAGGTTGATACAGAGTCCCTGTTCAAGTTGCCTGAGACATATAGCAAAGTCCCCTTGGCTATCTATCTTACATATGGTAATGCAAGTTTCCATATTACTCTTCCCATACGTCTCACCCTCTCCTCCCCTCTCCCCATGTCCATAAGTCTGTTTATGTCTGTTTCTCCATTGCTGCCTTGCAAATAAATTCATCAGTACCATTTTTCTAGATTCCATATATGTGTATTAGTGTATGACATTTTTCTTTCTTTCTGATTCACTTCACTCTGTATAATAGGCTCTAGGCTCGCCCTCAGAAGTACGGGTACATTATAATTTCACATAGAAAATGGAAAATTTGCTCCACTGGCATTTAGCATTTTGATGATAAGAAATCTGAGCCCAGATGATTTTTGGTTGATGCTTTAGAAATGTAATTAATTTAACTAAGTAATTAATTACATTTTCAGCATGATTTATTTGTCTGTTAAATCCATTAAACATAATTTAAATCTGTTAAATTCATTGTTAGTCTGTTAAATCCATTTAACTTATATATAAATTATAAATTTATGAATTAAATTTATATTCTATACATTGGGGGTATAGATATATAGCAGTTAACAATTTAAAAGTAATTTGGTTAAAAATAATTTGGATACACTCACTTTAGAGAACAGTATGGAGGTTACACAAAAAACTAAAAAAGAATCAGCAATCCCACTACTGTGCATGTACCCCAAGAACACCATAATTCAAAAAGAAACATGTACCTCAGTTTTCATTGCACCACTATTTGCAATAGTCAGGACTTGGAAGCAGCCTAAATATCCATTGACAGATGAATGGATGAAAAAGATGTGGTACATATACCCAGTGGAATATTACTCAGTAATAAAAAGGAACAAAACTGGTCACTTGCAGTGATGTAGAAGAATCTAGTCTGCCATACAGAGCGAAGTAAGTCAGAAAGAGGAAATTAGATGTATGTTACATTTATATTACATTATTACATATTAAAGCATATCTATGAAATCTGGAAAAACGGTGCAGGTGGACCTGTTTGTGGGGCAGGAATAGAGATGCGGACGTAGGGAGTGAACCTGCGGACACAGCGAGGCAGGGACAGGGTGGGGTGCCTGAGCGCGCGGCACCGACGTATATGCCACCGCGTGCGCGAGAGACAGCTGGGGGGAAGCCGCGGGAAGGCGGGGGGAGCCCGCCCGGGGCCCCGCGATGGCCCGGGGGAGCGGCCGGGGAGCGGGACTCACAGGGAGGGGCCCCGTGAATACACACGGCTGAGCCACTTGGTCGCCCGGCAGAAGCTGACACAACCCCGTAAAGCAATTATACGCCCGTAAAAATAAATAGGTAACTTGGATGGCACTGAATTATTCCTATGGCACGTGTCAGGGGGGTACGTAATTTCCTCAGTTCTGTCTCGTCACAACAAAAATTTGAGGCGCTGGACCAGCGTTACAGCCCTCGGATGGACCAGCGTTACGGCGCCGTGTTACAGCTCAGTTTTATTTAGACAATAAAGGAAAATACACCCTCGAGGCGTGAGCACATGCCAACCCAAAAGACGTGAGGAAAAGAGCGAGCGTGGGGGGCCAGGGCCGGGGGGACGGGGTCCCGGCCCTTTGGCTCCCCTTTTATGGGTTTCTTCCTCCGCCCGGGCCGCCCTCTGTAAACCGGGCTACCCAGGAGTGCTGCTTGTTCGACCTGAGGTCGGCACTGCGGTCCTCCGACCTTCCTTTGTTCAGTTTTCACCGGCTTTTCCTTTCCTTGTCTTCTAGCCACCGCCATTCTGGATTCCTGTGTCCTATTCTAACTACCTAATAGCAAGTATTACGCTATATCAAACCCACTTCCTGACCGGGAGAAGTTACTGTGATTCTGGTTATTTTATATTGTGCTCATAGTACTTAAAATTTACTTGTAATTTTAGAATTTTAACGTGCAAATTATTAGCCTATATTTTTAAATTTAAAAGTAAAATTAAAAAAAATTTTCACAATATACAATTTTGACAACTAGAATCTTAGGAGTAATAAGAAAACAGAATAATATTTAGATATAATTTTTTAAAAGCATACACTAAGGTAAACTGTATCTATTACTAAAGCATCATGTTATGTTATTTAAAAGGCATAGGCTTTATTGTTCTGAAATTGAGTCTTGTGAAATGAAACTATCTCCTGCCATATCAATAGACAAGGAATGTTGCAGCTATCAGGACGTCCGGTCTCCAGCTGTGAATGCGGGTTCCCCAAACTGCTATCCAGATAGCGACTGCGGAGGAGCTGGGGGAATGCAGGAAGCAGCCCTCGGCCACTGCTTAGAGTGAACAGGGAAACAGGATTTGACCCCTGATAGCTGTGGTGCATATGAAAGGAATGAAACCAGTAAGCCCAGCGGCTTGCATCTTCTCGCACACAGAACACTAAGTTTCTTCACACATACCTGATCTTTGATGTTCAGACTGTCTGCTCCCTTTGTGGCAAACTTGTATATTGCCTGACTCCCCCTCCAGCCTCCTTGGAGCAGTTTTCTCAGAGCTACCGAGGTACCGTCTCCCCGGCTTGGAGTCCTAAAAATTCCCACCAAATGAAATAACTCTCTACTTTCAGATTGTGGCTATATTTTTCAGTCAACAGTCTCAAACTGGAATGCCTTTGAGGACAGGTTCTTCTGTAGAGGTCCTTTGACTTTACTAGTTCAGTGTCCATATTAAGCTTTATGTCAGTGTTCATTCAGAACCCTAATTTTAAGTTCAGGTGCTTGGTAGTGTCTGATTCTTTGAGACCCCATGGACTGCAGCACGCTAGGCTTCCCTGTCCACCACCAACTCCCAGAGTTTACCCAAACTCATGCCCATTGAGTCGGTGATGCCATCCAACCATCTTATCCTCTGTCATCCCCTTTTCCTCCTGCCTTCAGTTTTTCCCAGCATCAGGGTCTTTTCAAATGAATCAGTTCCTTGCAACAGATGGCCAAAGTATTGGAGTTTCAGCGTCAGTATCAGTCCTTCTAATGAATATTCAGGACTGATTTCCTTTAAGATGGACTGGTTGGATCTTCTTGCAGTCCAACGGACTTTCTTATCTTCTCGAACACCACAGTTCAGAAGTATCAATTCTTTGGCACTCAGCTTTCTTTATATTCAAACTCTCACATCCACACATGACTACTGGAAAAACCATAACTTTGACTAGATGGACCTTTGTTGGCAAAGTAATGTCTCTGCTTTTTAATATGCTGTCTAGGTTGGTCATAGCTTTTCTCCCAAGGAGCAAGTGTCTTTTAGTTTCATGGCTGCAGCCACCATCTGCAGTGATTTTGGAGCAAAAAAAAATAAAGTCTCACTATTTCCACTGTTTCCCCATCTGTTTCCCATGAAGTGATGGGACCGGCTGCCATGATCTTAGTTTTCTGAATGTTGAGCTTTAAGCCAACTTTTTTACTCTCCTCTTTCACTTTCATCAAGAGGATCTTTAGTTTTTCGCTTTCTGCCATAAGGATAGTGTCATCTGTGTATCTGAGGCTATTGATATTTCTCTCGGCAATTTTGAGTCCAGCTTTTGCTTCATCCAGCCTGGCATTTCACATGATGTATTCTGCATATAAGTTAAATAAGCAGGGTGACAGTATACAGCCTAGATGTACTTCTTTCCTGATTTGGAGCTAGTCTGTTGTTCCATGTCCAGTTCTAACTGTTGCTTCTTGACCGGCATAGAGATTTCTCAGGGGGCAGGTCAGGTGGTCTGGTATTTGCATCTCTTTAAGCATTTTTCAGTTTGTAGTGATCCAACTCAATGAACATGAGTTTGAGTAAGTTACAGGAGTTGGCAATGGACAGGGAAGCCTGGCATGCTGCAGTCCATGGGGTTGCAAAGAGCTGGACACGACTGAGCTACTGAATTGATCTGAACTGAATTGAAAAGTAAAAGGCTTCGGCATAGTCAATAAAGCAGAAGTTGATGTTTTTCTGGAATTCTCTTGCTTTTTTGATGATCCAATCAGTTCAGTTGGCCAAAGTATTGGAGTTTCAGCTTCAGCATCAGTCCTACCAATGGATATTTAGGAGTGATTTCCTTTAGGATGGATGTTGGCAATTTGATCTCTGCTTCCTCTGCCTTTTCTAAATCCAGCTTGAGCATCTGGAAATTCATGGTTCACGTAGTGTTGAAGCCTGGCATGGAGAATTTTGAGCATTACTTTGCTAGCATGTGAGATGAGTGCAATTATGTGGTAGTTTGAACCTTCTTTGGCATTGCCTTTCTTTGGGATTGGAATGAAAACTGACCTTTTCCAGTCCCGTGGCTACTGCTGAGTTTTCCAAATTTGTTGGCATATTGAGTGCAGCACTTTCACAGCATCATCTTTTAGGATTTGAAATAGCTCCACTGGAATTCTATCACCTCCACTAGCTTTGTTCATAGTGATGCTTCCTAGGGCCCACCTGACTTCACATTCCAGGATGTCTGGCTCTAGGTGAGTGATCACACCATTGTGATTATCTGGGTCAGATCTTTTTTGTACAGTTCTTCTGTGTATTCTTGCCACCTTTTCTTAATATCTTCTGCTTCTGTTAGGTCCATACCATTTCTGTCCTTTATTTGCCCATCTTTGCCTTAAATGTTCCCTTGATATCTCTAATTTTCTTGAGGAAAATTCCTCAAGAAATTCCTCAAGAATTTCCCATTCTATTGTTTTCCTCTATTTCTTTGCACTGATCACTGAGGAAGGCTTTCTTATCTCTCCTTGTTATTCTTTGGAACTCTGCATTCAAATGGGTATATCTTTCCTTTTCTCCTTTACCTTTTGCTTCTTTTCTTTTCTCAGGTATTTGTAAGTTTTCCTCAGACAACAATTTTGCCTTTTTGCATTTCTTTTTCTTGGGGATGGTCTTGATCACTGCCTCCTGTACAATGTCATGAACCTCCATCCATAGTTCTTCAGGCACTCTATCAGATCTAATCCCTTGAATATATTTCTCACTTCCACTGTATAATCGTAAGGGATTTGATTTAGGTCATACCTGAATGGTTTCCCCTACTTTCTTCAATAAGTCTGAATTTGGCAATAAGGAGTTCATGATCTGAGCCACAGTCAGCTCCAGGTCTTGTTTTTGCTAACTGTATAGAGCTTCTCCATCTTTGACTGCAAAGAATATAATCAGATTTCAGTATTGACCATCTGGTGACATCCATGTGTAGAGCCTTCTCTTGTGTTGTTGGAAGAGGGTGTTTTCTGACCAGTGCGTTCTCTTGGCAAAACTCTGTTAGCCTTTGCCCTGCTTCATTGTGTACTCCAAGGCCAAATTTACCTGTTACTCCAGGTATCTCTTGACTTCCTACTTTTGCATTCTAATCATAGCCCATAAGAAAGAATGTGACTTTAATATTGGAGTTTGCTGGGTTGCTTGAACATTCACTAGTTCCTTTTCTTTAAACCATAGTGAAAGTGAAAAGCGAAAGACACTCAGTTGTGTCTGACTTTTTTTGACCCCATGGACTATAGAGGCCTTGGAATTCTCCAGGCCAGAATACTGGAGTGGGTATCCTGTCCCTTCTCCAGGGGATCCTCCCAACCCAGGATCAAACCCAGGTCTCCCACGTTGCAGGCGGATTCTTTACCAGATGAACCACAGGGATGCCCAAGAATACTGGAGTGGGTAGCATATCCTTTCTCCAGGGGGTCTTCCTGACCTAGGGATCAAACCCAGGTCTCCTGCATTGCAAGTGGATTTTTTACCAGCTGGGCTATCAAGGAAGCCCACAGACATATGGTAAATTTTCTACTGTGTTATGGTTCCCTTTTATTGGTGGGCATGTAGTGGGTGTTTCTTGGAAACAGCCAAGTTTTACTAAAATGTTTCTGGAAGAAAAGAAGGCATAGGCTTTAAAGCCAAGTAGACAGTGGGTTCAAATAACAACTCTTCTTTGTTTTCTGTGTAAACCTGAAAATTAGTTATTATTTTTAAATTCCTCTTTTCTCACTTATTAAGTGAATTATTCCTGCCTATGGAGTTAAGAGGCTGTGTCAGAGATATAAGGCCTGACTTATTGTTGGCACCAATGTAAACTAAGCATTTTATATACATTTTCCTATATACATTATTTTTTTCAACAGCTTCTCACAGTAGATATTATCAAGTAGTCCAGATTGGTGGCATTCATTTATTCAAAATATTTCCTTTGAGGGCTCAGTCACCAGTCATGTGTGACTGACCCTTTGGATTGTAGCCTGCCAGGCCACAGTCCGTGGGATTTTTTCAG